TCAAGAAAATTGTGTTAAGAAGAAGATGCGATCACTGGAACAAGAAGTTAATTGGCCTGACGTTCCTGATTCTAACTCGAACTCATCATCTGAGACGGTTGCAGATAAAGGAAGTGGAGGCACAAAGGCTGCAGTATTTATAGAACGTAGCTGCCGTGAGGCCACAGATCTCATAATCGCCGCTGGGGGTTGTAATTGAGGCGATGATGACTCGTCAGTCCTCGTCCGAGTCGTTAGTCGCCGCAATTTCATCATCCATGTTGGGTGTAGGCGTGATGATTACTCGGCGATTTAGCCTGCTGTCGCCAGGATAGTTGACTGGCCGACCGACCTACCTACCCTGAACTTGGGGTGAAAATGGATTAAGATAGCATTGGTTATGACGCCTAATAGGACAGAAACAACCACCTCAGTGCCCCTAAGGTTTTTTGGCAATTCTGATGGATGGATGGAAATTGTAGGTGACCTGGTATTCAAACGACGGTCATTCGGCCAGTCAGATTGATTACATACTAGTCAGCTCAAGGTTCCGCAGCTGGGTTCACGATAGCAGATCGATGCGTGGTGCCGAGACGGGTAACGCCCATGGGTCGGACCATGTCCTCGTCCGTACACGCTTGAAAGTCCATCTCTCATCCGCGCCAAAAATGCCACGTCCTAGACGCCTCGATGTCGCAAAAATCCGGCAAACCAGCATTGCCGAGGCCCTGAGCAGAGAAATCCGCACCTGTTTTACGACCTGAGCCGACGGAGAAGGCAGTAACCAGTGGTCGTCACTGAAGACATCAGTCTATGGGGCAGCTGAGAAAATCCTTGGATACACCCAGCGACGCCGCAGTGACTGGATCAGCGGAAGAACCCTGCAGTTGTCTGTTCAGACGGATCGAGCCAGGTCCCGTAACGATGGCTGCTTCGGCCAATTTCGGAAGATGACGGAAAAGTCTGCCAGGGATGACCGGAAGCAATATTGGGCTGAAATAGCGAGCTCCATGGAACAGGCCTCGAACGTTGGTGACACTCGAAAGCTCTACCAACTGATCCGCCAAATTAGTGGTAAGCCCTCTACACTGAGTGACTCTGTTCGCACTGTGAACAGCGGCTTTATTGCTGACGACTCGGCCAAAGTCTAGCGCTGGCGTGTGCACTTTGAGCACCATCTCAACTTCGAGACCCAACCTACCTCAGCGGATTTTCTTCCATCTCCCACCTATGCAGTACCATGCGACCCTCCCCCACCTCTGAAGAAGAAGTCGTCGATGCCATATGAAAGTTTCGCAACAATAGGGCACCCGGAGAGGACTGTATACCCGCTGAAATCTTCAAGTCTTCTGTCGACACTCCGGCGCCCTGGCTCCATGAGGTGATTGAACGAGCGTGGAGAGACGAGGTTGCTCCTGATGACTGGGGCTTAGGCATTCTTGTACCTATCCTCAAGAAGACTAAGACTAGATGCGAGAACTACCGCGACATATGCCTCATCGACGTTGCTGCGGAGATCTTCGCTGTTGTCCTACTCAGACGATTCCAGGCTGTGCGTGACTTAAGGATGAGGCCCAACCAAGCTGGATTTCGTGTTGGACATGGATGCGCAGACCAGATATTCACCCTGAGGCGCATTCTCGAATTTCGCCATAGCTACCAACAACCGACGGCCGTCTGCTTCGTTGACTTTGCCGCCGCGTTCTATTCCGTCCATCGTGAGTCCCTGTGGCGGATAATGCGTTAGATGGTGTACCGGCAAAAATAATCGCCATGATCAAGGCCTATTATCGCTCCACTACTGCGAGAGTCCTGGTCCGCAACAATCTTTCCCAATCGTTCGGTATTCGGTCTTGCGTTCGACAGGGTGGTATCCTGTGGCCCTTTCTGTCTAACTATGCTATTGACTGGATCCTCGGGAGGGCCCTACACGAAGGTGAGGGTGCCGATTTTGCACCCGGACACCGACTGACTGATCTCGACTATGCCGAGGATATCGCCTTACTTGCTTCCGGTTTTAGTGATCTGCAGTCTGTGGTGTCACGGGTGAACGAGGTCTCTAAATCGTTCGGTTTATCCATAAACGTTGGGAAGACCAAAGTGCTTTCAAACTGCATCCCTGAACAGGAGAAGGCACCCCTCGGAATTGATGGTTATCAACTTGAAGAAGTAGACAGTTTTAAATACCTCGGGGGGAGGCTGCTGCCTAATGGACAGAGTAAGGACGACATTGTCTCCCGAACTGATGCTGCACGCAGGATTTTCTCAGGCCTTCGGAAATGCCTATGGATCCGATGTGACCTCTCCATCGCCAATAAGATTCGCGTGTACCGTGCATCTGTCTGGTCTGTCCTTCTCTACGGTTGTGAATGCTGGGCTTTGCCCATGGAGGACGAGCGAAAACTGGAGGTATTTGACCACCACTGCTTGAAGACCATCCTTCGAGTGAAGTTCACCGACTTCGTCTCAAATGAGACAATCCGCGAGGATAACTCAGGCCATCCGAGAAAGACGACTGAGGTGGTTCGGGCATGTTCTCCATCGTCCACCTCAGGAACTGTGTTACTTTCCTCCTCCCTGCACCGTTGCCCCATTGGAGGCGTCGAAGTGGGGATCAGTTCAAAACCTGGCTCGACACAGTTCGTCAAGTCATGGAGGTAGTTCTTGTACCTTCGGTATTCGGTCTCCGTCGTTGGCGAAGGGAACGGGTTGAGCTGTCCAGATCTGCTGCCGCGGATCGCCACGCGTGGAGAGGTACAGTTCGTGACATCATCGAGGCCGGCTAGATCAGGCATGATCGCAGCCGTATCAAGTACGAGTAAGTAGCTCAAAGTAACCTGGTCAGAATGCACACTTCGAGGCGTGCAAAGCAAGAGACTAAACGTCGCAGCCCCATCTCTCATGTTTATTCTATTTGGCGATTCCTAATATAAAGACGAGGATCCAGGTTAAACCGATGAATGCCTGGCCCAAAGTGCCATGACCGAAATTTTTAGAGGTAAATGCGTGAAAATTTCTCGGCGAAATGACTTCTTGTGCAGCAGTTTCTTTGCATCGGAGGGCCAACGGCGACGGACTACAAGAAGTTGGCTTGAATCCTCTAACGATGTCCGACAGTCCACGTGTGCCGAGTCAGATTTCAAGTTAACTCCCGTCCCGCAGCCTCCAGCTAGGCATCGACAACGAAGTTAGGGCAGAAACAGAGTATTCACGGGACGCGCGACCAATGAGCCGCTCATCTGATCTCAGCCATCTTTCTTGAGTGGCACGAGGTGTGTTCTCAGTGCTGCCGCAGCGGCTGCATGTTGCACCAGTGAAAGCCATGGACAGACCCTAACCACTACGATCGGCGTAGGAAGAGAAGTAAGATGCCAGTAGAGAATATTGTGTTCTGTATAGAATCTACGAAGAATGTTTTAAAACAAACTGGCGCACGCACGAGAGGCGAATCTCCGATTCCAAGGGGACAGGCGTCAGTATTTTGGGCCAGGGTCTGTCCGCAAAAGGTACTTCAATTTTATACACTTTCCAGACACAAGAGTAATATACGAAGTCACAGCATGCCGGTGCCACTGGTGCGTCTGCGCACATCAGACGAAGACGCAAAGATGCAGCAGCCTCCCCAAGTAGGTTCAAAACATATACACGATAGCACCTGTGACGAGGTCGACGTGCCCACGCAACGGTGGTCGGAAACTTCCCGTTTTTGCCTGTCATCCGCGAGCACGGGCCAGGGACAGCCGTTTCACGCTTATTTGGTTGCCATTCCGTCAATCGTAAGTCGGACCACCATTAGGAAACAGAACCACACGACGAAGACGCCACACAGCTGAGATTTTTTGTAACCGATGACTAGAAATTCAACTGACGGGGCGATCGCGATATCGCCTCTGGTCAATCTACACCTTTGCTGTCCCCCAAGTCTCACGATTAGCACCAAATAGGCCGACAATTCCGTCCGTAATGTCCGTTCAAAAATCACCCCAGAACACTTTAAAAGGTTGTAAAGAAGATGAAGATCCGATCTCTGGGACAGTGGGTTTATTAGTCTGAGCTTTCGGTCTCGTACAGGAGGCCATCGTCAGAGACTGTGAGAAGGCAACATCACGCCATGAAGGGGGGGGGAGAGATATGAGTGCAGCGGGTAGTATTCTCGATAAGTTGCGTCCCACGCCGTCTCACGGTGGCGTGACTGCGTGCACCCTGGGCTGGAAATTGGGTCTCGCCCCTTGGCCGCGGGAACGGAGCGCGTGATACCAGGGGGGTATTTCAACGTGCCTGTTGATAGAGTTGGTGCCAGACACCAAGGCCTCTAACAGTTCACGTCCTGTCTTATTGCTGGCCCGCGCCACTATCCGCATGCTCGCAAAGTTGAATTCGTGGCCTTCCTCCAGGGTGTGAGTGGCGATCTGAGACAACGGGTCGCCTCTCCGGACCGCGCGTTTGTGCTCCGTTATTCGTGAGCTAAGTCGTCGTCCGGTTTGTCCTGTGTAGTGGCGAGGGCAGTCCCGACATGGGATCTGATAGACGACGCCCGATTGTTCACCCACGTCTAGGCGATCCTTCACTTCATGATTTTGCTGCGCATGGTCGCTGTCGGACGGTGAGCGATACCCACGCCGAGCTCTCCAGCAATACGTTCCATCGCTTCGGATACGTTCTTTATATAGGGCAGAGGGTGCCAGAGTGTTGGCGGCTCTCCTCCGTTTGTTCGCCGTGGGCGCGTGCGGAGGCAGCGGCTGACGAAGCTGTTCGGGTATCCATTCCTTGCCAGTTGGTCCCGAAGATGCCGAAGTTCTCGTACTCGTCCCTCTGGTTCACTGCAGTGCGTTTTTACCCTCTGGAAGAGTGTCCTAACACAGCTGCGTTTATGCGCCATTGGGTGGTTACTGTGGTAGTTGAGAATCTGAGTCGCGTTAGTCGCCTTTCTGTACATCGTGGTGTTGAGTTCGCCGTTGGGTGTGCGTGTGATGAGAACGTCAAGGAAAGGCAGCTGTTCGGCATGCTCTTCTTCCCTTGTGAACTGAATGTCTGGGAAGATGCCGTTGAGCAGATCTTGGAAGTCGGCCAGTCTGCTCCTTTCAATTATGACGGACGTGTCGTCCACGTACCGGCGCCAAAATGCAGGTTCATAGTGGTCGAAGGCGACTTTTTCCAGTTCCTGCAGGACTAGTTCTGCAACCAGGCTGGATATTGGCGAACCCATCGGCGTTCCTTTGATCTGCTCGTATGTTCTGCCATTGAAGGTGAAGAAGGTTTGTTGGCAGAAAGCAAACAGTTGCAGTAAGTGGTCGATTTTTAGGGGTTTGTTCGTCTCGTCGTAATTCTCTTCCAGTCGTTTGCGAAGAACGTCGCGTGCCAGGTCCGGTGGGATGGACGTCAATAATGAAATTACGTCAAAGGACACCATAATCTGCTCCGGTCGGACAACTTTTCCTCGGATGTCGGCCAGGAATTGGGAGGCCGAATTGATGGAGGTCCTTGAGCCTTCTCGGAGAAAGGTAAGTTTTCGGGCCATCCACTTGGATAGATTGTAAGTGGGGCTGCCTTTCAAGGCAACGATCGGTCGAAGGGGAACATTGGGCTTGTGGATTTTGGGTAATCCATAAAACCGGGTCAGTGCCGTGTCCGTTGGTTTCATCTGTCGCCATTCGTCTAGCGATATAGCACTGTTTCGCTTGAGTCGATTCAGGAGTCCAGTTAGTTGACCAATCATCGATTTGGCTCGCGGAGGCGTGGACTTGTAGGACTGTTGGTCGTCTAGGAGGGCTTGTGCCTTTTCGTTGTAGTCAACGCAGTTCATCACGACGGTTGCTCTTCCTTTGTCGGCTGGCAGCGCTATTATATCTTTGTCCATTTTTAATTCCTTCATTGCTTCTATTTCTGCGGGCGACAAATTATTGATGGGCCTGTTCGTCAGCAGTAGGGAGGTGACTTTCTGGCGTACGGTGTGTTTAGCCTCGTCGGTCGCGTTGGTTCTTACCAACATGGCTTCAAGCGCGGCGATAAATTCGGCCGGTTTGGCATCTGCCGTATTAAAGTTGGCTTCACGACTCAGCACTCTCAGTTCTTGTTCAGTTAACTGTCTGGAAGATAGATTGTGCACCACATTTTTGTTCGTCTTTAAAAGGTGTTCTCCATCAAGCTGACAAATACAGACTATGCAGGTAATTCTTCCACCGCACTCGACGAGCACCGACACTGCCTCAAGTGATGGAGCTGATTTTTGTCCAATTCAGTTTATGGTAAAGGAGACTTGCGCGGCGTCCATCACAATCTACCATCATACACACGCTCACCATGTCTTAGTGACAAGGCAAAGCCAGGAGGACTGGGGGCGGGCGCAGCGGATGGCAAGTCTACCTAGACGCCGCCATTAGCAACACACAAACGGCCCTGGTGATGGCAGTCCACACCCGCTAACAACGAACTACGAAGCCGGTAGGCCGTTCATGCACTCAAGTCGCTCGCAGTGACCGACCAGCAAGCGCCCCCGGGAATTTCACCATCGGCACTATTTGCGCGTCCCGACATGATGAGAAAAAGACGCCACTACTAAGAAGGTGTCAATAACGCAGAAAAAGAGCAGCCAAGTTTATAGGAAAGTATAGCAAGTAGGGGAAAAAACGAGAGTTAGGGGAAAGAGCGTGCGATGAGAGGGAGGGTGAAAGAGTTCCGAGCCGATGATGATGATATGTCCGCAGTCGCCCAGAGACTAGGGCGCTGGTGGGTTTGCCCCCTTTTGCTGTATGTCATCAGCCCTCGGAATATCTGCGCTTTTGCTCTCGGAGAGTTTTGGATTTGTTCCGTTTGGTTGGCTCGCTGTGTCATTGTGAGGCGACGCTGCGGCTGCAGTGAGCGGGGTCGCAGCGGAGGCAACTTCACTTGGTTGGTGGAAGAAGACCAGCTGAAAGGCAGGCGAAATAGCCGTCTTGTGCAAAAGCAGACGAAAGTAGCGTCCATCAATGTAGGATTCAAGTGGGCACTTTAGCTTGCCTTTCGAAGTCACAAAAGCGGTTGTATGGCGAGCAGAAGTCAATAATACCGAATTCAGTCGAATGGTTCACGTGGTATGAGTGCTTGATTTAATATCCATCAGTGACTTCATGCAAATGGTTTGATATACGCCAGCACCCGGAGTTCGCCATTACTGCGTTGATGACAACTAATGAGTCAGAAATGGCTATTCCACTGTCCACGATCTTTGCCGGTAACAATTCTAAATTACATAACACGGCATGTACCACTGATGATTGGGCAGATGCACATATGCGACTTTATTTCACTGAGGTCAATAGCACCCGATAGCATCTTTACACTAAAAGTGAAGCCAAATGCAATAAGTACGGTGTCGATGCCTTGATGACAAGTTCGCTGAATAGCAGGAGGCGGAATTTAAGGCTTTGAAAGGAGATAAGAGGATAAAAAGGGAGAATTCTGTACGCCTAAATACATGAAAGGTCTTCGAGTAGTAGTCTGCAAAAAATAGCCAGCAGGCAGTTGTAAGCGCCCTCTCATATGTCGGAAAACACATTGGTCAGTCAAGTCTGAACAGAAACAACACTTAAAGAACACCTATGACGTGCCAGAGAAAACAGTTTGGATCGTTAGCTAGGAAGAGGAAGAAACTGGGTTTGCATAGGGCACATGCGTGGCTAAATTTGGAGGTATAGGACTCAAACAGAGTGTATAATGCCACGTTGAGCAGCAAAATTCGAACATAAATGATGTAAATCAAAAGATGACTACAACGAACTGGGAGGTTAAAAAGGCAAGTTATTCCGTTTGGTAGACATTCGCTTCCTTTAATAACTTACAATGCTTTATCGAGGGAGCTTTGGAAAATAGGCAACAGTACCGGTTGTCACTGGAACAGTTTCTGCGAGCACATTTGCCACAAATTTAACGGCATCTAAAGAGGCTATTTTTGATATGTTAATAACAGTAATCGCAGCATCACTGGAAGAGGAAAACCCCTTATTAGACATGCGACTCAGGATCAAAGTTTGCTTCAAACTGAGTTGTCATCGACGAGTCAGTCTACAGGCAGTCAGTTCTGGCCAAGTGACACTAATTAGCATGCATACACAAAGCCGGTGAGTTGCTGCAGAGGTAGGAGAACCAATGAACATCTTTCATCGCGATCTTGAATCGTCGACAACCAAAATTTAAATCAGTAGCTTTGCTCGCCAGTTTAACATAGAAATACCGTCAATGCTGACATACTTCAGATCGAAACAGGAATCTTCTAGCAGAAAGAATTCCCAAATAAGGATCAAAAATTCCATCTGCCCTTAGAGGGAATGACATCGGGGTGGAACAGCTCTCGTAATGCGACCCTCAGCGTCGACTCAGGGAGTTCGGCTCGATTTAAACACACACCACTGTCATCGACCTGCACGCGGCCGGAGGTTTGATGTGGCGAACAGTAGGAAGGAACACCCCGGCAGGAGTAGTTAGGAAAATCGGAGGAAATTAAACACTAAAAGCCCCCAATACACTTACTGACAAACACACAGCCATTGCAAGATGCAGGACGATGACGATGACTACAAAGACAATCGCGTTCTAAAAGGAGAAAAAGGAGGTGAAAACAGTGTCCCGGTCAAAAGGGTCCCTGAAAAAAAAAACAACTCAAGATGAATGTGGGTCACCAGACAGTTGAGTGACAACCACAGCTCATAAATTCCGTAAGTTCTCTGGATCCCATGCCCACAGTTGTTTCTGTCTCGGGTGATGTGGTCCAATCGGAAACAACGACTTCCTCCAAATGGCGTTCTCGCGTTCGCTCCTCCGTATCCAAATCCAGACACTCCTGTTGTTGTGTTTGTCAGAAAATTAGCAATCTGCTTTTAGAGGCAAGAACCAGAAGGGCTGCCCGCAAAGAAGCTCTGGAGCGTAAAGACCTTTCGTCCGTGAGCATTCTAACAAAGGCCTTCGGCAGAAGCTAATGTCGTAAATCAATATCAGAACACTAGGGCAGGTCCCACGTACAGTAGATGGACTAACTCGTGAGATGTTAACTGAAATTCCGAAATGTGTTCTCGACTCAGAATACCGGCTTTTGAATGAACTTCTTTTATCATGGGATTAATATTACAAACCTGCTTAAGTAATCTTTTCGGGTCGAAAACACATATCACAGTAGCGGTTAACATTTCATGAGTTAGCATATCTACCGCGCATTGCGTCTTTAGAATAAGTCAAGGATGGGGGGGGTATGTAACTATCGATTAATTGCCGTCTCACGATCCGTCCAGCGACAGGCGGCCCAGGCGCGTATTCTGAAGGATGACGAAGCTTCAGGCGCAGAGGTCACTGCAGTTGGCCCCGGTTCTACATATGCTGTATAAAATATGATCTAGAGAAAAGGTTGGTATAAATAGAATCTGAGCAGGACTGGTAATAGTGAACCGCCATATTTTGTGCTACCGACCGCGGGGAGGGGGGGGCGTCACTCTGAGCCCAGGAGTCGTTTTAGGCCGAAAACATGGTCCGTCGGATACAGGCTTGTGACAGTACGTACAGTACGTGGGCTAAGTCATGAAATGTTAACCGAAATTCCGAAATGCGTCTTCGTTTCGAAAAGGTTAATTAAGTAGGGTTGTAAAACTAATCACCATGCAACATAATTCAATAATAATTCAGTTAATTCAGGATGCCGGCATTCGAATTAACTTCCTTCCGGCGGCATGCAAAAACGACACTCTGTAAAAAATGACTACCTAAGTAGCATAAATTGTTCTCATTGAAAAACATACATAAAAATATTCACTCTTTTACCCACTCGGTAGACAACTACGTCTTCCAATGTTATATTCGAAGGAAGAGTACAATTCGGTTTTCAAAAACTTTTCCAATTCCCGAATAATTTTGAACCCGCCCTACCGTTAAACTTGCATTCACGGTTTCCAAGCCACAAGCCGAATATTTTCCGCGTATGGAAAACCACACATTTCTCTACGGTAATAAAGGGGGACCATATAGAGTTCATAAAATTTAGCACAAGATTTGATCCATATTGTTAACTTTACAAGCCACATTGGTAAATGCAGAGACATGACGATTTATTAATGGCCATTTCACGGTGTTTAAATGTCCTACAACTAGAAACTTTTTAAAACCGAATTATATCCCTCCTTCGAGCATAAAATTAGAAGAACTATCTACCGAATGAGTAGAAGAATGAATATTTTTATGCGTGTTTTTCATGAATTATAATTGGACTCTTAGGGGCATCGAAAATCAGTGAGAAAAATTTATGCTACTTAAGTGGTCATTTTTACAGAGTGCCGTCTTTGCATGCAGCCGGAAGGAAGTTCATTCGAAAGCCGGCATCCTGAGGTAACTTAAATATTATAGAATTATGTTGCAGGCTGACTAGTTCTACAACCTTACTTAATTAATCCTTCCGAAACGATAACGCATTTCGGAATTTCGATTGACATTTCATGAGTTAACCCACCTATTGTAGCAATTATGCACTAGATACAAAAAACAAAAGTGCGAAATCAACACAGCTCAAACAATCTTACGCGGACGACCACGGGAATTCGCGCCGACTGCTTTAGGCGTCCCATCAACCAAGGGGTGGTCTGTCGTCCGTACTAGTACTCGACAATCTTCCATCTTTGGCTCACATGACAAGCCCAATGCAGTTTTGAGATCAGTTTCTGCTGAGACTATGAGGCAAATCTCTTAGATGCGGAAGAGGGGATTGCGATCAGGCAACTTACAATTAGTTGTTCTGTCTTGTCTGAAGCTGGTGGTTGGGTTGCGTGGCAGTCATAGGGTAAGGGAGTATCGATTATCAGCACAGCCGACGGCAGGCCCCTAATACATCGGGTTATTAAAGTATCCAAAAAAGGTGCAAGAGGACGACAGTGGAGACGCAACGCTTGTCAGCAGGTCCGCGACACCCAGACGTGGCTTTGGCTGCGAAAATACATCTTTGCGCCGGTTACAATAAAAGTCACGAGACGCACGAGACGCAAAACAAGATTCACACCTCTGGAAAAACGAACGGCAAACTACTCAAGCAGTGGCATACGCTTACGGCATAAACACGCGTGGAGTACAACCTAAAAGGCAGCCACATGCACTAGCCCACAAAGGCCTTAGAGCTAGGGAAAACCAACCCGACATTGGGACTGGCGATGGCAAACCGGGCATCGCATAAGGGCGAAAATTTACCTGTTTCTTGTGATGCTGAAAGGTTTTCAAGGTGGCTGTGGCTAAAACGCTGCAAGAGAGCGCGGTAGCCAGGACAAGAACTGTCATTTGTGCGGCAAAGGAGGGAATCACGAGGAGCTAAATTAAGAATAGAACACTCTAATAGCGTTCATACAGGTAAAGAACACAGGAAGTCAAACAGGGATATCATGGCTACTAACAGACTAACAGGTGATGATGGCAGAGAGGCGCTCACCGGTCGCATTACGGAACTCACTGGTCCCGTTGTGCCTTGGAGTTTTCTTTCGAACCCCGCCAGCAGTCGGATTGCGGAGCGTAATATAGGCAGGATAGCATTACCGAGAAAGAAAAGGGAGACTGGTATGACCATTTCTGACTTGTTAACCGTCATTCGCCAGCCATACCCAGGCCCGACGTATGCGACGCACGAAACTCGAACACACGGCCTGCTGATTAGAAGTCCAACGTCCTAACTATTGAGCCACAGGCTCGATGTGCTGTCGGTTGCGATCGGGTACATAAAAGGTGATACAATAGGATGCACAAGGGTCATACGGGACTGTTCATTCATCCCAAGGGATCAGGACAACCGCGTTTCCGGAGATGAATCGACAGTAACTTGAACGCTCAATCCACAGCCTTCATCTGGTGATATCGGTCATCATCGATTATGACGGAGTAACTTTCCCTCTTGATGGCGAAGACAGCATTCAAATCACAGTCAGATCTGGGAAGTTCGGTCTTAAAAACCAGATTCCCCGTTTGCTGAATAATTTGGAATAATTTATCCAGTGCTGAAAAACGGACGGAGCTAGCTGAAAACGACTAAAAGTTATATCGGTCTAAAAGTGGTCAAGACAATCACACATCACCATAAGGCAATGCAAGATTGTACATTTCCCGGGAAATAGTGTGCTATCCCGCAGACGTTTAGCGAGAACACACCATTAGAAACCGAAATGAAACGATCTTCCACTGTTTTACCTACTCCTTATCATTTAAATTCCACTAACGCAGACAGTTCTAGGAAGAACGACAAATGTGGGTTTTGGCTAAGACGTTAGGTGCTCCGAGCACATGCTTCAATATTGAACATGACACGCACTCAAAGGAAGCTTCCCGTCAGGCTAGCTGCAGCACCCAATCTTAGCTCCTCCAGTCGGTTTGACTCACACGGGACGTAGGCACAGGGAATAGAGGTCGCCCGACCCCGAACTAATGACAACTAAACGCGCCTTCCACCCTATGATGACGTTCTGGTCACGGTGGCTTTGGAGTCGTCCAGGCGACGCGGTAACTCGGTGCTTGTTAGGGCTGAGGGTCAGGACGCAACGGTCCCTTAATGCGTGCGACTCCAGACTCGATCATTGACGACTGATCCCTGTGTGGGGATGGGACAGAGAACGTGCGCCTTACACGTAGACTTAGCTCAGCATTCGTTGCTCTCGCGCCCATAGCTAGTTGTCTTCGCTCGCGGAATCCTAGTTGCGGCGAGGTAGATGGAGCGAAAATCAGCTCATCAAATTGCTGTTAGGTGTCCTCTCTGGGGCACCAGTGGTCCCCGTTATTGGCAACGCGTGAGCCTACTATTAATAGTATCAGTCAATAAACATCGAAAACTTAAACAAATGGGAGCAGAGGGGAATGTAGACGGGATGCTCACGGTGCAAGGCACAAATGCTGTCAGAGAGTAGCCGTAGACAGCGAGAAGGTCTGTGAAAAGCTGGCCCATCTTCAAACCAGTGGATTCTTCTCCCACCAGCTGTTCTGTACCCGGATCCTGCTTCTGACGACGGAACCAGGCAGCACAGGCAATGAGAAGTGGCACGATGCACCAGTAAGTAAGCAGGAGGGCCGAAGTGATGGTCACTTAAAAAAAGTAGATGAGAGAGTATGTAGAAAAGGGGGTCGTAGACATGGAAGAGAAAATAAGGTTACAGACAGAGAATAGTTGAAAAACCAACAGGCGCGAGTTCGAGGCACGGGTGTTCCACACTTCGGGCTTGGGTATGGCTGGCTGACGACGGCTAATAAGCCAGAAATGGCCATTCCAGTCTCTCTTGTCTTTGTCGGCAATACCATTCTGCCTATGTATCATGCGCCGCTGTGTGGCTGCTGGTTGGGCTCGAGAGAGAGCCCTTAAGGCACCACGGAACGAGTGAGTTCCGTATGAACGATCGGTGAGCGTCCACTACCATTATATATATGTATATATATGCCGAATAATAGAGGATACGCGCGGCCCAGGTAATTGAATAGAAAAAGACCGGAAGGCGATCGCTGGGATCAATTGATTATTTGTCCGACGTTTCGAACTCTCACGCGAGTCCGTCGTCAGGGAATGAAAAAACCGTACAACTCATCGCATATTTAGCTCGCCTCTGCCATGGATGACTTCCATCTGCGCTGCTAATTTGTTCACACAGTGCTTGATAAGCGACTGGAAGATCAATATGTCGATCGATCGAGCTAAATTAAGACTACTTATGCTGAATCAGTAGAACGTTTTTTAAATATGTACTGACGGAGAGGACAAGGGGACCTGGTCGAGCCGAGTCTACGCAATAAGACTGACGAAATCGAAAAATATTTTATATGCAAATAAAATAAGCAATAGGCTATCGATCAAATTATGGAATATTTACAAATCGAATTACTGATGTGGAGACTATCTTAAACATGACATAAATGTGCATGAAACTGAATATCGATTGTGATTACGAAGCATGTCGGCCTGCCCCTTGGGTATGCTAAAAGAGGAGCGAAAATGCTTTCATGCAACATGCACGACCAGTATTCGAAAAGCTTTGAGGAAAGTTGAATATAGAAAGCAAATCTCAAATAGATGCCAATTTTAAGGAAGATGAAATTTCTGTTTCTGTTACCAATGCCAATCCATAAAATGACGAAGGACCTAGTAATTGGAAATTTGGTGCGGTTAGCATGTTCTAACGGTAGAAAACTCCACAAAGAGCAGGAGCACGCCAATCATTCTGAGTATATCCACCTGAAATATATACCTACATGTGTGTAAACCTGCAGTTGAACATGTTGAAGAATCTTGACCGGAACAAACTAACGCTTCTCAAGGAGGATGCGTTACAGTATGAGGTAAGTATGTTACAGCTACGCTGCCCCGTGCTGCGAGATACTGCATTCAGGATGCCATAGGTGGGAGGCTCTGTACGAACACGAATCGACCATGACTCTGTCTTGAGTCCAACCATGTACATCGATGTTGAAAGAAAGGACGGGCACATGGCGGCAGGGCAGTTCGAGAGTTCCGTCTCAAATCTCGAAGTCGAGGGCTGGAAGCCCGGATAGGATTGACAATAGCTGGCCCGTCGTAGACAACGATGGTCAACTCCAGAGGAGTTTGCGGCTTACGTGAAGGCCGGAGGACCCTGGTGGTCACTGGCAGGGTAGGGGGTCTTTAGATGTGCGCTAAAAGGTCGGATAAACCGTTTTCGCTACCGGACTGTCTGGGAACTCAGTGGTGGTAGACAGCGAGGCGGTGAGGGCAAAGTTCGACATCCGTCAATTAACGTTCCATCTGTGAACATGTGGTGTAATGGTTCTTTAACAGGCACTGGGCAGGGGACACGGGTTGAAGGACTACGGATAATAACGAATACACCGGTCATCTTGCGCTAGCATGCAGTGCACAACACCGCTATAAAGGCAGTTAAAGTGAGCTTAAAAATGAATATTTGCAAAACAGGCGTGGTCCACAAAGGCATCAGCACGGTCATGGAAGACGGTAAATCTCCAGAGTCAAAAAAGGGATTCTGACGATTTCGACTGAACTTCCTAAGAAGTATGCAAAGTAAGGATTAAGTCAACCATCACGTTAACTAGGCCAGGGCGACCTTTGTTCGATGTCGCGGAACCGTTTTGAATCGGCGTGGGATGCGTCCGAGACCTCCATCGATGTAATCGAGGAAAGGGTAACGTCAAATGATGATCAGTGACAAATCTAGTAAACATTACCGCTTCGACTCTAAATGGATCGACCCATTTATCTCGTTCATCACCGCTTACTAGAGTTGCTTGGCTGGTAGGGGGTGATAAACGAATCATCTGCGATCCAGACGGCACAGGTGACCACATCGACCACGACTTCGACTAAGTGTGACTTGGGAACGAAACCCAACCAAGCCGGACTTGGATCCGCGGGCAATATATTCACACCGCGACGCATTTTTAATTTCGCCAAGGCTACCAGAAACCGGCACCTGTCTGCCTTGTTAACTTCGCAGCAGCGTTCGATCCCGTCCATCGTGGGTCCCTGTGGAACTATGCGGTGTGCTGGACAAAACCATCGGTAGCATCAAGGCCTAATACGGCTCTGTGGCTGCGCAGGTCACGGTTCGTAACAATCTCTCCTAACCGTTCGATTTATAGTTGTAAACTTGAATAAGACAGTTTCAAATGACCCGGGGAGAGGTCGTCGCCGAATGAGCAGAGTAAGGATGACGTTGGTTCCCAAATCGATGATGCTCGTAGGATTTTTTTAATGTCCAGGATGCGTCTATCGATCCGACGCGACATTATCGACGCGAAAATCCGGGTATACTGTACATTCGTCCGGTCGGTCCTCCAGTACGGCTGTGCATGCTGAGTAGTGTGCGTAGGCAAAAACTAGATGTGCTTAGTGACTGCTACTGGAGGACTATCCTACCAATGAAGTATCGAGGCTTCGCCCGAAATGAGACAGTCCGCACTCGCAGCGGCCACAGTGCGAGAACATATCAGGCCATTCGAAAAAAAACGGATGGTAGTTCGGCACACTCTTCGTCGTCCGTATCAGGAGCTCGGTTTTGCTGCCCTTAATCCGGCGACGTTGCCCGGCTGGAGGAGTCGACGAGACTAATTCAAAACCAGGCTTGTCACAGTTCGTCAAAATTTGAACGCAGTTTCTGAACCTTCGGTTTTCAGTGTTCGTCGTTGAAGAAGAGCATAGGTCAAGCTCTCTGAATCCTTTGACGCCTTGAAGGGGACAATTTGCGACATCATCGCGGCCAGCTAGATCGGGTATTACTACAGTTTAAGATAACTACCCAAAGAGAGCTCGTCTATTATTTTGGAGTTTGGAACTAGAAAAGTATAACTATATGTGGATAGAGCTTGCTACTATGAAAAGAAAACGGTTAACCGGAAGATCGGCCTCTCGTCTGCGTACACAGTCCGACCTGTAATAGTGCTCAATGATTCTACATGACAGGATTCAAATAATACTTTTGTTGATTTCTCTATATCCGAATATGAGCTCTCGGGCGGGTTGGATGAGTTGCTGAACCAATGCGGCGCATGTGCTAGTCCCCACATATACAGGAACTAAACGTTAAAGGTGCGGAGCTCATAAGGGTAGATGATCCCATAAAGGCCATGCTCGGGAGTCACTTCAATGTACACGTTAGCCGGGAGGACCAAGTCAACTCGGCAACCGCCGCCTTCAAAGTCACGAATTCACCCCGTACAAATTGTATGAAAAAGCGCCGGAAGTATATTACAGTGATAGTGTGTAAAAGCTGGTTTAGAGCGATAAATTGAGGCCAGGGTAAGTCTAACGTTCTCTTTCCCTTTACGTCGTGTACCAAAATGCCGGCGAAGCCCATTGAAGGCGAAAGCAGACTAAGTGACTAGTGTGGCGTCAGCCTCCTTTTCGGCACATGCCCACCACTTATTTGTCTTTTTTATTGGGTTGGCACAGAAGCGCAGCCCGTAGAACACGGGTAGGTGACCTGGAGTGCTGTCTACGCGTAGGCGAACCGATGAGGCGAGGAAGCTGAAATAAATGACGATCAAACTCAAAGACTGTAGCTTGTAGGGCGAATTTTTAAGAAAAATGACTCGTCACAAGTAGAAGCTGTGGGATTTCAGAAAAAGCATTAAAGGGAGCTATTTAAACGACAGCTGTTTCCCCCACAGAGAAGGGCGAAAACGGATAATAGAAAGTGACTAACCCAATTATTTTAAGGGGTCGTATAAACGAACGCGAAAAATCAAGGAATGAGGATAAACTCACTTGGTTAGTGTCTACATCGAAATAAGATTTATAAAAATCTAAATGGAATATGGAGACCCGCTGAGGTTGACTAGCTGGCGCCTAAAATTCGATCATCAAGCAGAAAGAAGGATACATCTTCGTTGGGATGGATGTCTCCTGTGAGCGTTGAATCATGGACATATTCTGTTTGAGGCAACGGAGTGTACGCTGGACCCGACATCATAAAGTACGCGCCTAGACGCACACGGAAACAAACATCCCGGCGATAATTGGGAAATATAAAGTTACTCAGTCGATGAAGTTAACGTCTGTGTTCACTCAAGCGCCTTCGCTATGCAACGCATTGCTGTTGGTTCGCTGGGCTTACAATAACTGCCAATCCTTAAATTTACCGTATTTTCACACAATTTTGTCGAAAATTCTAGCCTCTATAGGGGGTGGAAGTCATTTATCATCCTATGTACATAGCATGTGCTTAAGCGTTTTTCGACTAGCTTTCAAAGAATATAACTTTTATAAAGCACCGCAAAAAGCAAATGAAAATTTTTCGACCTTAAGCTTGCTTAATTTCATCCCAAAACATACACCAATCCCGATGGTTGATTCAAATGCGTCTAATACTCGATGAATCGAGAAGCCATGAATTCGACCAAAACTAGCCTCGGGAACATCAGCTTGTGACCGTTTCCCCTAAGATTACCAGGGCGCTGTTCTCGGCAGTC